TTTGCTTGTTTTATTTTGGAGATGGGGTCTCCCTGTAGCCCCAACTGGCCTAGAATTTGCTATGTAGTTCAGACTGGCCTTGAACTCGCAGAGATCTACCTGCCTCTGCCTCCCAAGTGCTTGGGATTACAGGCATGTGTCACCACGCCCAGCCCCCTAATTATTTTTTGAAGTGAGTCACAGGAGGGGGCAATATTCAACGCAAGGAATGAAGGAAAAATGCCAAAGTATCAGACTTTTCTGTTCACAAGAGCACTGATTCACATCAGTTAGTCCTAGTCATATTCTTAGAAATGAGCCAGGGGAGATTAAAAACCAACTAATCAACCAAGGAAGTAAAAGTAGCCAAGAAAGGTAGGACATTTTATTTTACATACAAAAAGGGTGCAAATTGAGTACATTCCTCCCCAAACTGGGGAAGAGAGATACTTAAAAGATCACATTTGTGTTGTCCATGGTGCCCTATGAAACGGGCTACTCTGAGATAACATATCCAGACCCATTTTCCATTTCCTCCAAAGAAGGCTACTTCCTCTGCAGAGGAGTTCTCCCCAATGGTGTCCAAATCTCTCCTGGAGGAACCATTTCAAATATACTTGAAATTGACATTCATTTAAAAAATACTACAAGTTTCATTTTTCACAGCTGTGTTTTTTGACCAGTGCCAGGGTTTATGAAACATTATGTATCTTTAAAAAAAAAAAAAAGTAGAAAAAGGCATTTAACAATAATTAAAACACATCTACACATGAATCAAAACTGATTTCCACAGCTGATTTATACATTATCTACTTTAAAAAAAATTGCAACCAACATACCAACATCTTTTTTAAGGGTACAATGGGCAAAACTTAAGAGAAACATACAAATAATATAATAAATTAGAGCATGTAATCTATCCAATGGGAAATGCTGAGTCAACATTACTTTCCACTGGAGGGCTGTGGTATTTTTGGTTTCATCTTCTCTGCCACTGCTCTCTGCTTGATAAACAAGGTCCGTAACCTGAGCCAGCTTGCTCACTGGTTCAGAGCTCATTTGCTGTTTCTCTCTGAGAACACTTAGGAACAAGTTCCAGAAGAAAGTGAAATGCACACAGATGAGGGCACATACATGTCATCACACACCTCCATCTGTAAATACATTTATCCCCAAAGAAATGGCTCACATTTCCTGAGACATTCCTAACAGATTGGGAAGCCTTCCACAAGACTTTTGGTACAGGGCTTGCCTGGGATTTGGTCTGGAGTTCCTGAAGAGGAACACGGAAAAGGTTTTACTTACCATGAAAGGCGGGTTTGGGGGGCAGTCATGACAATGTGCATGTTACTGGAATGACTGCAATGCACCCTTACTTATTACCACAGATAATCCTCTGCCTTGAAACCTTAAAGGTGTTGATGGCACCAGAAAATTGATTGTAAGAAATAAAAAAATAAAAGAAATCCTGTCCACACAACTAAGTTTTCTTTTTTTTCTTTTTTTTTTTTTTTAATAACATCAAGTTTGGTAATAGATATATGGAGTACATGTTACTTTTTCCTTGGTAAACTGATATATAAATACTGGAGTGGGTTTCCTGGTTGGTTTCTGAGAAACTGTCAACTACTATTGCCTATATTTAGGGATCTACTTACTATTTTGAATGCAACAAGAAATCTGTTCTTGCCGGGCGTGGTGGTGCACGCCTTTAATCCCAGCGCTTGGGAGGCAGAGGCAGGCGGATCTCTGAGTTCGAGGTCAGCCTGGTCTATATAGCGAGTTCCAGGACAGCTGGGGCTACAGGGAGACCCTGTCTCAAAAAGACAAAAAAAAAAAAAAAAAAAAGAAATCTGTTCTTTTGTACTTAGTCTAGCCTGCAAAAGGAGTAGGGAAAATATTTTAAGATTGTGTATAGGATCAAAGACTCCCAAGACTAGTGATGAAAACACTGCTCAAACCTCTACAAACAGAAGGGCCATGGTTGCCTTTTCTGTTTCTTATAACCAACCCCCCACAAAGAAACGAAATCCCCCAACAAACTAAAGAGGAACTCTAAATTTTAGATTCCTACCAACACACCATGGGGAAGGCTGGTAATCACTGGCCATCAGTCTCTAGATGGGACTTCCTTGGAGTCTGCAAAATCAAGAACCCCAGAGATAAGTGCCTGTTACCCACATGGGTACCAGATGGGGTACCTGGTTATCCTGGCTCCCTGAGGGTCTCTGGAATTCACTTGCCCACCTGAGGGCAATGGTGGGGATAGCGGCAGTGCCCTGGCAAAGGCAATGTTGGCTGTGACTTTGCAAACTTCAGGTCATAGAAACTCAAGCCCCAGCATGACTGTCATTGAACACATTATTGGGACAACTAAATGGGAATGGAAAACTGGTTTCAGTATGAACATGGAAGAGATGGCTGGGACTCAGGAGGTATGTGGGCTTGAGAGGGATGCAAGTATCAAGTTCCTTTGAGGAGATGCTTTCCAGGCTTCCATGGAAGTTATTCTTTCATTCATTCATTTATTTATTTATTTATTTATTTTTTTATTTTTTCTTTACAGGGTCTCCCTGTAGCCCCAGCTGTCCTGGAACTCACTATGTAGACCAGGCTGGCC